TGGTACAAGCTGCTGGATGAGGCAAGTCATGCATAGGCAACTGGTGGTTCAAGCTGGCAGGATCACGTTAAAGCAGGGAATAGCTCATGTTAAAGGAAACTGAAGCTTAGAGGATGAGTACCTGATTCAAGGTCAGTGTCTCACCCTAGGGTTTGAACCCAGGACACTCTGCCTCCAAGCCTGTGTTGTTTCTATCCAGCGCTTTGTTTCCCCACAGTTGCTGAGGATGCATGAAATTGAGCTGAACTTACGCTAAGCTAGCGTGTATCCTACAAACTTCCTTATGAAACAATCCTGGTACCTGCTTGCTTTGTTACAATCTCTTTTAAAGTGGAACAGAAGTGACTGCATTAAAGACTCAAGGTGCATTAAAGACTTAATCAAGGTTATTTCTACCACGAGTGTATAAATGATGAGTGAAATTCAAACAGCTAAATAAAATCCACCCGAATGGTGAAACTTCTCTGCTGTTTCTTGTCTTAGATCTTTCACTGTTCTTCACATAGGATTATGACTTCTGCCCATTATGATTACCCCAGTTCTTTTCTGAATTAAGTCCCTCACCTACCACTCATATAAGCAGTTTCAACCGCTACATGCCATGTGTGCAGATACTGTCCTCTTAAATGGTAACTTCCAGATTCTTGCAATCCCAAGTATCTTGTCCCAGACTAAACATAACTAGCATTCAACAACTGCTTAATGCTCTGGACTTGAATGATCCAAAGCAGACACTAAACTAAGTGGTTTTTCCATTTTTCAAGAGCAGTCCAGGAAAAGACATGCCATATGGAAGAACCCGGAGAAAGCCAGCCTAAAAGACCATAAGAAAAAAGCTAAAGAAGGACCAGCCATGAAGAACTTTGAGCATTAAAAAAGGCGGAAAGAGCCAAGGGCAGGCTTCGAGAAACAAGGATTCTGGCAAGAGCAAAGGAGAAAAATAAAGGAAGAGAGGACTGGAGGGAGTGAGACGACATTTAAGGTTTGAAATGGGAGGGCAATTCTAGAGTTAAGGTGGGTTCTGATCCAATGGAAAATTGTTGGATCACAAGTCTCACCAGGTTTCTCTGGCTGAGGAGCCTGGGTGGCAATCTGTGGGTGGGCCACACTTAAGAACACAGAAAGCTGGACACAGACACAAGCGGAGAGAAGTGTCATGAAGCAGGGAGTGGCAAGAGTCAATCCTAAATGCAGTCATTTGGGTACAGTGTGCCCTTCAGAGAGGGCATGGTGACAGCATGGGCTAATTTAGAGAGCTGCCAGGGCAATAACTCAGAGAGCAACACTGTCTCCTCACAACAAAACGAGGCAGCCCCTGAATGTTTCATGGTGGTAAAAGCTGCATTACAGCATGCTGAGATCCCGGAACCAATGAAAGAAGACAAGTTTACCAAAACGAGACTTGACACAGAGTACGTTTCTGGCAAATACATTACTAGGCACTCGTTCTACTCATGTCCTGAAGAAACTATTTAGTTTCCTTATAAGGCCCTTCTCTTCTGCTCTTCCCTGTATAAAAGCAAATGTCTTCTTAAAGAAACAAGGATAGAAAAGGGACTGTTCCACTCACCGCCCCCCACTCCCAGTGTTTTTTGGGGAGGTGAGTGGAGGCCCTATTTCTGGAGTGTCAGAGGACTACCAGGTTTTGAAATCATTTTTAAAGAACTGATTCTGCTCAACAGACCTAAGTTAATGGAGGAAGGGAAACTGCAAGTGCTTACGCTGGCTGCCAGATTAAATTGAGCAGTGTTGTTTTACCCATGACGGTCATCTTTAATCCTGTTAGAATGTTAATACTACATACTAGCCCTAAGATATAGTGTGCACGCCTGGGCAGAAACACTATCATGGTATAAAAAACTCACAGTAAACGCCAGCTGTCCCTCTTAACTGAGCGTCAGCTTCTAAATTTATCTGCTTCCTAAAATTTCCCAATTGGCCCCCTTACCCATAGATCTAATCTAAACTCCTCAGCAGGATGTAAACTTCACTTCTCATGCATTTCTCTCCCTATTTTCAAATTTTACAACTCCTCCCTCTCCTGCCTGGAATAGCCTCTCCATTTTTCTTTGCTTGGTAAAGTCTTAGTTATCGTGCAAAGAATTGTTTGGTTTCCATAGTGAAAATGGCCATACTCCCAAAATTGTTATACAGATTTTATGCAATCCCAGATTTTATGCAAACACACCATTACCATACCTCACAGCACTAGAAAAAAACCTATCAAAAATTCATTTGGAACCAGAGAGACCTAGAATAGCAAAAATATTTCTAGGCAACAAAGACAAGGCAGAGGGCATCACAATCCCTGACTTGAAACTATACTACAAAGCTATTGTGATAAAAACAGCATGGTACTGGCAAAAAAAACAGACTTGAGGATCAATGGAACAGATCAGAAGATGCAGAAACAACTCCAAACATACTCAGCCACCTTATCTTTGACAAAGAGGCCAAGTACATGTCCTAGAAGATAGCCTCTTTAATAAACTGGCTTTCCACATGCCAAAGACTAAAACTAGACCCATGTCTTTTACTATGCACTAAACTAAAATTAAAATGGATCAAAGACCTAAATATTAAAACAGAAACACTAAATCTGCTCAAAGAGAGAATACACAGAATTCTTAAAGAGACAGGTATAGGCAAAAATTTCATGAACAAGCTCTGGGCATGATGGCACATGCCTGTAATCTCAGTACTTGGAGGCTGAGGCAGGAGAAATGCCATGAGTTTCAGGCCAGTATGGGCTACACAGTGAGTTCAAGGCCAGCCTGAACTGCATAGTGGTACCCTGTCTCAAAAAAGAAAAAAGTAATAAAACATTTCATTAACGAAACCCTCACATGGGAAATACTATAATCAACATCCTATTAAAAAGCTTTGCACAGTGAAAGAAATCACCAATAGAGTGAAAAGACAACCCACAGAGTGTAAAAAAATTTTAGCCAGTTGTACCTCAAACTAATATCTAGAACATATAAAGAATTTTTTAAAAATCACACATCCCCCCAATTTAAAGACCCAGTCCAAAAGTGGGCATCTGAGATAAATATGTACTTCTCAGATGAAGAAATACAAATGCCAAATAAACATATGAAAAAATGTTCACCAACTCTGGTTGGTCATTTGAAGATGCAAAATTAAAACAACAATGAGATTCCATTTCACTCTAGAAAGAATGGCTATTATCAAGAAATCAAGAAATCAACCAATAACAAATGCTGGTGGGGCTGTGGGGAAATGGAACCCTTCTCCACTGGTGGTGGGAGTGTAGGCTGGTACAACCACTGTGGAAGTCGGAGATTCCTAAAAAATTTAGGATTATCAGTCCCATTTGACCCATGTATTCCCCTCCTGGGTCTCTTCCTGGAAAAATTAAAAACATCATACCACAACGATATATGTGCACCCATGTTTATAGCAGCAGTTTGTAATGGCTAATTCTTTCAAACAACCCAAATGACCGTCAACTGAGGAATGCATAAAAAAGATGTGTTTTTTTTTATACAATGGAGTACTACTCAGGCATAAAGAAGGATAAACTTGTCAAGGCATTTGTAGGTAAATGGATGCACCTTGAGACCATACTCCCTTAAGGAAATAAATTGGACACGTGTAAATATTGGATTGTCTCCCTGGTGTGAGAAACCGGAAGAGTAAATAAGGACAAAAATGTACAACAGATATTGTGAAATAGGAAGAAATTCTTTAAAAGGAAAGAGGAATTTGGGATGCGGGGAGGGGAAAGGAAGCAAGGGAAAAGAAAAAAATGAGAGAAGTAAAAAATGGAAAAGACACTTTTACACGTAAGGAAGTAAGAGTGGTTGAAGGGAAGGCAGGGGGATAGGGAAAAAACAAAGAATCAAGATATATCATGTACAGGCAGATTCTGTGATGAATGTGATCATTACATATACCTAAATGTACCAGTAAACTTACTAAAAAAAAGGACAAACTGGAAATAAATCTTTGGGAATAAAGGAGGGGAAGAAGGGTTGAAGGGAGGAGGAGAGGGGACTGGGAAAAAAGAGGAATCAAGATATATCATAAAAAAGTTACTCTGAAGGTGGAATTAAAAAAAGAAAAACAATCAGTATGGCAAAAACAATGGGAAAAATAGATCTGAGATTAAAGATGACATGAGCCGGAAAAAACAAAACACGCTTGGTTTCTGCTCCTCCAGGAAGACTGCTTTGATACACACCCTCCCAGGAGAAGCCCGTGCCTATCTGTCACCACAGTCATATATGGTACTGTAATTTTATTTTGTTGACTTATTTCTTCCATTAGATCCTGAGGACGAAAGACAAATTTTAGTTTCCATTATATACTCTAGTGTCCAGGTCAGAGGCCTGGCACATAGTAGAGATGTGGTCTTTCAATGAATAGTAAATATTGTCATCTACAAATCTTTCAATTAAAAATCCCACTCTCTTTAAAATTTTTGTAAGATAATATGACTATGGTTCCCTTCTGACCCGCCAGGATGCCTCTGTGAGCCCTCCATTGGGAGTCATATCTTTGGTAATATTTCAGAAAGCTGGTAGGCGACTGCATCAGTTATTGGCTTCAAGGAAGCCAACATCTATACAGCAATTATGTGCCTGCCACAATGTACTGAGTTTATGCTGCAAATATATTATTTCAGTCTTGACCACCCATACTAGCCCATTTTAGTTCTTTTTTGCTCAAGGACCTGAGTCTCAGAAATTTGCCTAAGGTCACAAAGCTAGCAAATGATGAAGCCAAACTAATACAATGTGCAAGATCAGGACTAGATTTTCTTTTAAATGAACTAAAAAATGAGGTTGGCTGAAACTAAGCTCTCCCAGAGGACTGAAAAAATGATGAAGGCAGCAAATAGCTTGTCCATCGCAGACTACGGGTATGCAGTTTTAGCAATATAAACTGAAAACCAGCCTTGTTCCTGTTCAGAATTTAGATAATTGCACACATTGCTGCTGGCCTGTCAAAAAACAGACTCATCAGACATTCGGTTTGAAGCATCACTTTAAAACGATTTCTCAAATTTATTTAACTCATGTGGATAACACGGTAGAGTCCTTTATATTAAAAAAAAAAGTCACTGCTCAATACTCACTAAGCCTTGCAGACAGCTCAGAGTTTAGGAAGCACGACGGGCACAGAGATCACAGGGCTTGCATTGTCCCTTGAAAGTTGGAATTCCAACTCACACCAGATTTTTCCAATTCAAATTCAGTTTTATTAGAGATCCCAGCATAATTTTTTTTTTTTAAAAAGACTGGATTGTTGCTTTTTAATTTTCCATTCCTATTTAGAAAAAAAAAATGTCTAGAGGCAATGACAAAAATAACCATTTAAAAGGGATTCTTCCCCAGAAGTTTTCTGTCAAGCTTAACTCCAGGCTTTCCACTCTTTTTTCATTTTAAAAAAGAAAGGGTTTTGGAGTATGTCAGCCTTTGCTCGGCTTGCTATACAAAACCTCTACCTTCTCAAGTCCTACACATAATGCCAGGACCAAGCCTCTCGTCTTTTAATCAAGTCCACACTCGGTTGCTGAAGAAGCTTGTTTGAATTCCAAAGTCAGCTACAGTCCTAATCTTCAAAAGTAGACAGCTGACTGTATCACTTATGACATACACCAGGCCGGGGCGGAAGAAGAGGGTCAGACGTCTTTTGTCTGCTCCGGGTGAGTTACGTCAGCCGTTGAGCCTGTGTTCCCTTCCCCAGAGCTCACTGTGCAGCTCCCTGCCACGCCACCTCCACGCACTGATCTTACTGAAGATCTTACTGTCCAGCCATAGTGGAAGCTGCTTGAAAGTTAATGGAATAGATAATTTCCTGTAAGTGTGCACAAAGGGAAAATGTATTTACTGTTTCGACCTACTCATCACTCAGTTTCTCCATCTCTTCTTCAGACGTCAGTACTGCTAGGCAGATGAGGAGCAGACATCTGTGTATAAATATGTGCCCTAAGTTCTTCATTAATTAACTTCTGGGGAAACTGCTGTTCCTGAACATCCCATATTCCTTGAGAGGGAAAAATTCTATATAATGTTGTATAATACATGCAGAAATATTTCTTTTTAAGGGCCGGGGATATAGCTCAGCGGCACAAGCGCCTGCCTGGCAAGTGCAAGGTCCTGAGTTCAATTCCCGGTACCAAAAAAAAAAAAAGTATTTCTTTTTAATCTTCATCTCACTCTATAGGTTTTGCTCTCCAGGTACTAACAGTGGACAGCAGAAAACCACAAAGGCGCAGTATATAACCCTGTGTCAGCACCATGGCAGCTCCTCCGTCATCCATGCTGACTCCAAGTAATTTCTGGTGAAGTTGGATACATCATTAAATTTCTATTAGTGCTTTGCCTGAGGCTTTCCCTAACCACTAACAGGGAGCAAAGGTCTAGAGAGTTTTGTGAAAGGGGCAAAACACAAGCCATGGCCTGGTCTGCAGCCAGGTGTCAGTATACTCTATAATGGAGGAAGAGGATCATGGGAAGATTTTTGTTTTGGCTTTTAGTTCAACCAAAATTTACAAGATTTACAGAAAACAGCTTCACGGGACTAGGGGACAGAAGTGTCATAGTCAGGAGAGGAGGTTGGGGAGAGCAAACACAACCGGTAGAATTCAGGGATAAAAACATCTACACAAATTCACAGAGTACAGAAGAACCTGAAGGAATCTTCCTGAGGGGTAAGAGGATCAGGCAAAGGGTCAGTGGGACACAGTGGGGAAAGCAGAACCTGTTTGGACTTAATTTTGGAGTGAATTTCTCTACGTTTGTGCTTTTTAAATGTCATTAGAAAGTAACAGCTTTTTAAATATTCTTTTGCCTCTTATTTCCAGGTGACTCCCTTTAGGTTAAAAACCAGCAACAGTATAAACTTCACAGGATGGAAGGACAGCCGCTCGATGCGGGTGAGGTGAGGAGCTAGGTGGCAGACGGACTTACACAGTAAGTGAGAGTCTATACTTCTTGGTCTTCTCCTTCAACCACGCTAAGTCTCTGACCTGCTAGAGGTGGCAGTTTATTTCTTGGGGAAGAAGCCAGTAATGGATACTTGTCTGTTGGCTTTGCCTAGAGCAGCTGTCCCTTTCTTGGAGCCCTTTCGTTCCTCTCTGGGCTCTTTTTTCACAGTCGTGGCAGGGGGTCTGTGTCCAGAGGATGTCTTTGTCTTAAGCTCCTCTTCACTATCAGTGCAAGATTCACTCTCATAGTATTTTTCAGTCACTGGAATAAGAAAAAAAGCGGGCATGAATGGGTTTATCAGGAGAGTCATTTACCAGAATAAGGTGTCGTGCTCATTTGATAATGAATCTTTTTTTCCTAGTGGAGATCACATCTAGTCTCGGGTAGAAAGCATGTGGTAGGGCTCTAGGTAGGGCTGAGAATTAATCTCTCCTCCTTCATTGCCATGTCCCATGCCATTAAGTAAGCCTTTTTCATTAAATGCCCAGATCTTTTGTGTGAATCCTGGTCTATGCCAACTAACTTCCTGAGCTCTATAACTGGACTGTCTGTATCTCAAACACCGACCTATAACACAGTGCTTTGACTAGCTTCTGAGTCTCACCTCTATGACTCCTAGTGCTTGCGGATTGCCACTGCTGGTTTTTCTGCTCTTAAATCTTGGGACCCACATTGTCTAGCAAGATTCACTGCCACAGATCCCCTTGGCTAGCACTATATTGATGTCACCTACTTTGCACACCTTAAGTACATAGCATTGGACATTATTATACCAACTTTCAGTTCTCAGTTTGAATGATTACTAACCCATGATTCAGCAAGTCTACATCATAAAGATAACTCTCACACAGATGACACACACTTGGTAGTTTTGAGGAAACTATCTGAATCTGAGCTCTGAAAAGAATGCAGCAATCTGTGTTTTAACAAGCACTCCAGGTGATTCTGATCCATGCTAAAGTTTCAGAGTACACAAAGGGCACACTGTACATTAAAACACAAATATATCTGATTCGAAAGCCTACGCCTCTTGGAAATTTGACTAATATATTAGAAAAAGTTATCAATAATTAAGATTCGATAAAGTGAGAAACAAAGTTACCAGTTTTCTTATTCATTATCAGCCAAAGCCATCAACTGCTTTTCCTTCTGTCTTTAAAACTATCCAAACCCTTCACAAAGGGAAACTTGGACAGAAACTTACCAGTGAGCAGACCTTCAGAGCAAGTCCCAAAGGAACAAGACACAAACAGTGGTTTCCCACCACGACACAGAGCTATGGAGGGTCTCTCAATACTGGGAATGAGGGATTGTGGGAGGGATTACACGCACCCACCACAAATCACAGCACAAGACAACCTCCTGTGCCTTTACAGAGAGGCGACGGCAACATCATCTGAAGTCTTTCTCAGCCTGTCTGGCTGCAACAGGTGATAAAGTAACAGTGAAGGAAAACATCTTTTCTTAACTGAAAACTGTAATCTACTCTGCGTGGCAACTGCTCAAACAATGAAAGAGGAAGGTATTTTTTCCCCGTTAAAGAACAATGATAGTTTCAAGATCTTAATTACAGATAATTCTAATAAAATACATTAGTCAAGTTGTTCTAGAGGCATAAACTTTAGAATTAAATGTATCTGTTTTAATACCTAGTCTGCAATTTAAGACACTCTCCTAACTTTAACATTCATTAGAATCACCTGGAATGTTTGTTAAAACACAGATGACTGGATTTTGTTTCCAAAGTTTCAGATTTGATAGGTCTAGGGCAGGACCTCAGAAGTTTTTTTAAAAAACATGTTTCCCAATGACAATGATGTTGCTGGTCTGGGGATGACACTTTGCGAACCAATTTTTTTTTCTCCCCTGTTAAAATGGGATATGATGTACCTACTGGTTTTGGGCTGGTAATGGGATATGATGTACCTACTGGTTTTGGGCTGGTCTTCCATGCTGTATTTTCCTTTACAATGGGTTATGGTGAAGGAAAACTGACCGTTGCACTACAGCACTCTTTCTCCTTCATCCAGCAAATCCAATTGGGGTGACATAATTATAACAATCAATTTGTCTTTACTTTAAAGAGGATAAAACTCACTTGGATGACTCCCAGCCACTTAAAAGATATTAAATTTTAAATAGATATTAAGTAGGTTTTTAAAATTCATTTTCTATGATCATTTGTATAATTATAAAATTTGCACAGCTATCAATAATAATTTAGAAAGTGACTGAATTATGCAGTTCTCCAACAGAAATACTGAAGTAGGAGGATCACAAATTCATGCCCAACCTGGAAACTTATTAAGACCTTGTCTCAAAATTTAAAAAAAATTTTTTTTTCATAAAAGGGCTGGCACTGGGTGTGGTGGCCTACACCTATAATCCCAGCACTCAAAAGGCTGAGATAGGAGGATCTGCCCAGAGTTTGAGGCCAGCCTGGGCTATGTAGTGAGTTCAACACCAGCCTGAACTATGCAGTGAGAGCCTGTCTCAAAACAACCAAAAAAATAAAAAATAAAATAAAAAGGGCTGGGGATGTTGTTCCATGCAAAGGTTCTGGATTCAATCCCCAATGGGAGAGAGAAGAGAATAAAAGAGGAGGGGAGGGGAGGGGAAGAAATGCATCCTTACAACTTACTAGGGACCTCCCCCCTCCTCTTCCTCTTGGATGAGATTTTAAGTCTGGACAAGGAGTCAGAACTCAATAAAATAAAGGCTACTAAGAAACAAATGATTATGTGATAAAATATTTTTATTCTGGCAAACTGGCTTCCCTTTTAAATTAGTTTTAAATGCTGTAACTAATTTTGCTCCTGTGACTTCTTCTTTCCTTCTATCAGAGCCCACCCCCCAACTAAATTTATTTCAGTTCTGACCAAAGAATTCAGAGATGAGCAGACCAACTGGTCACTGAAAGTACCCTCTCGGAAAGGTTTCAGTTCCTATACAATAAAGAAGCCAAAAGAGCAGATCACATATTGTCCGTGTGTAATTTTTTTCCCTTCCATTTGTTTTGTCAATACAAGAGATCCATTTGCTGGTGTTAAATTAACTGGAGTCTAGAAATACTGAATTTATACAATTTCAACCTAGTCAGTGTTTTTGAAGGCATTACTTCACAAACTGTCTCCCTAAACCACACATATTAGAATCTCCTAGGAGCTTATTAGAAACGCAGAACCGGAGCTGGGAATTTAGCTCAGCGGCAAAAGCGCCTGCCTGGCAAGCGCAAGGTCGTGAGTTCGGTTCCTGGTACCGGAGAAAAACCAAAAAAAAAAAAAAAAAAGAAACGCAGAACCTTAGCCATGAATTGCTATACCAAAATTCCAATTTTAGCAAGATCTTCAAGTTATGCACACAGTCAGCAAAGACGAGACCTGGTCAGAGAGACAGGGGTCTAATAGAGATGTACCCCAAGAGGGTCCAGTCCACGGCCAGAGCCACTTTTGATCACTTTTGCTTTGTGGTGCAAAAAAGGTACAGGTTTTGTAGGGCAGCCTTACAGGCTAGGACTACTTCCTTTATGATCCTGGTTTTCCCTGCTGGTTTTGAGACTCAGAAGTAGGAGGAATGCCACAAGTAAGCTCTACTTTGTTAGCTGTTGCATTTGAGCTATCTTGGTGGTAACCAAGTCTGAAATTCAGTTGTGTTTGAACTGCCAATATTATTTCAAAACTTTGGCATATTGATCTAATCCTGGTAGGGAGGGTTCTGCCTTTGTTGTCTTACAGAGGGACTCCCAACCAGCAGCTGTGTCCTCCATGTGTCCACACTCTGGTATCAGAGTGCAGCTAAGTGGATGGTTATTTCAGCTCTGGTCACCCTACCCTTTTTAGTAAATTGCTCCTAACTGTAGTTGCTCCATGTTATCCCATTATGGAGTAGAATCTGATGCCAGTGGGAGGGAAGGACCATTAATGACCACTATTTTTTTCTTTCCAAGAATGGAGATGTTGGGGAGAGATAAAGACCCAATATGAAACCAGCGTGGTCCATTTCAGTGTACTATAAAGCACCGAGAATCCCTGTGTATGTGGGAGAGGGAGGCTTGCTGTTGCCATAGCTCCAACCCCAAGATAGGGACAAGTGGAGGACAGAGCACAGGCTCATCTCTGCATGTTTTGGCTACTACAGTTGTGTGTAAAAAAGGTCAGTGCCCACTTTTGTATTTAAGCATGAAAAATGATTCCAATTTAAAAATTATGAGCTGTTATTTATTCAGTATCTTAAATTAGGAAACTCTGAAGAGCCATCAATAAAAAGAAAACAACTTACTACTAGTTAATATAAGCCATTTCTATTTAATAAGCCATATTCTGTATTCAAATGGCAGTATGTCTATAATATTACACTTCAGCATCAATTGGTTCATTATTTCTTAATGAAACCACCAGCTGTCGTGTTGCCAATTTTGTGTAATACATTGCTTCAGGGTGTTCAAAACCAGTCAGGGCAGCACCAATACAATTTCTCAATCAGCACACTCAATGCCCTTGAAAAGCTAAAAGAATTATTTCTATATCAAAAGCTGTAGCTATTTCAAACTACAGGACAAAGGAGACTTCAGATTACAAATATAGGACCTTACTTTAGCTGAACTTGCCACCATTATAAAGTTTTCTTGGCTACCATTATAAAGGCCTGGTATCCACAGGTAACATCAGATTTCTTTTCCAGTCAACTGCTTTGCTTGTAGAAATCTGCCCTGTGTCCAGAAGTTCACCCCAACTTATCTCAGGAGCCCAACTCCCCAGTCCCTGCTGCAAACTCACAGAAAAAGGGAAGATTAGCTTTTTAAACCCAAAGAACAAATGTGATGCAGCACAGGACAGGGCAAGCCCCTGGGCCGGCACATTTGGAACACTCCGAGCAGAGAGAGGAGAGCACACAGCTCCTTTGTTGGTAACCAGGGCCAAGATTCATTAGGTGGAGCTTGGACTAAAACCTGACAAAAAGTGCTATGTGAGCACAGTTTTCATTGTTTCGTCCAAGGCTCTTAATAGTTCTGTCTGGAGGCAGGAGTGCAAAAAAGTCCACATCCCACACCTAGCCAAATCTTGAATACTGTGTTTTAAATAAAACAATAAGTAATTAGGCACAAATTCCTAATGAACTCCATGATAATCATTTACTTTTTTCTTTTGGGGTAGAAGGAGAAGGAAAACACTGGCACTGATGTTTTCATCTTTTTAAAATTAACGGCGGGGGGAGAAAAAGCAGAAATTCAACAGTAAATACATACATGATTATCAGTGGCAAAAAACCCCCCAAAACCCACTGTCTTGAAAATACTACACTAGCTGGGCATGGTGACTGCACACCTATAATCCCAGCACTTGGGAGGCTGAGGCAGAAGATTTGCTTAAGTTTGAGGCCAGTCTGAACTATAGAGCAAGATCCTGTCTCAAGATCTCACTCCTGCCCCCAAAAAGCTGCATTAGAATACTAAAAAGCTTAAAAACAAAACAAAACAAAAAAGGGCCATCACAAAAAAACCTCCCCAAAACAAAGAAACACCCAAGTCCAGAGTTCATCAGATTTTATAGGCTCACAAGAAATTTGTCATGAAAAAATATATGTAAGGAATCTTTTCCCCCAATCATATGCTACGATCAAAATGGCAGAGGTCTCTTGGAGATGAGGAATAATGAGACAAGGCACTCGACCGCCACAATGTCCTCAAGATTGCACAACCACACTGTCTAGGAAAAGTGGATTCTTCAGATCCAGTCAATGTTTCTAACACAGGAGAATCAGCCGATGACTCTAGGCCTGAGTTCTAATTCCCCTCTGGGCCTTTATAACAAGTACATGCTTTTACCTAACATGGCTTACAAAGAAGAACCAGGAAGCAAACTGGATGAGTCACACCCTTATAAGAACAAATGGGACCAAACACCAAAGAAGACTCTTGATTACCTCTTCAGACTCTCATCATCTGTAGGAGCTCCTTTCTCACTGTTCAAATTTATAAAACAATCATTCTAATAAAATAAATGTTCATAAATGTTTAGGATAACATCTGAACTCTGATTTGTGTTCTCCATACTAAAAGTGTTTTCAGATAACTACCTCACCTGAATCTTTGTAACAACCCCACATTTAGGCAAAATAGATACGTTTCCTCCATTTTTTCACAGATCATGAAACTCCCACTGTAGACAACATGACCACTACCCAAGATCAGGCTTGTTTTTCATGGTGTATGGACCAAACAAAGACCCAGACGTTCTAAGGTCAGCTATAGCCTTCTCTACACAATGCTGGTCAAAGCATGGTCCATAGACAAGCAGTACCACACCACTTAGGGGTGAGCGTCCTGCACATTCAAATCTGAGATGGACTTCTCTATAGGGGATTACAAAGCCTCTCTATGTTAACAATTCTACCTCTGGATTTGGACTCAAAAATTTGTCTTACCCATGCTTCCTTCCATATCCAAGAAGGTTTTAGATTTCAATACATGCTTTCGTTTTCGTTTGTTTTCTCCACGTGAGTTCTGAAAGATCAGAGGAAGAGCACAAGATACTACGTTAAGTTGACCAGTGAAGCTATAGACAAAAATAGCAAAAGCTTCAGGAACTCTTCCCATAAAGGGGACCAACCCTACCACACAGAAAAGTTATACCCCACGTATGCATGCACTTGGTGTTTTACTATTTATAGGATGGATATAGCATGCTGAGGAAAGTACTGTATTCCTTCTGTTAACAAGTTTTGCTGGGGAGTGTAGGCACTATAGTTAAAAACATAAACAGGATAAGGACCTTAGTGGGGGGGAAAGACAAGGAAAGCAGACCACAGTACATAGGGTAGGCACTTTAATGGAGAACTAGGGCAGTATGACGGGAGCACACAGGGATGGTCCCTACACCAGACCAGGGGCTGCTCAGCACAGATACTTGCTATGGTCAGCCTCGGCGTTTCAACATTATGCCCATCTAGTTTAGGAGGAAACATGTATTACTAATATCATTTTCCTTTTATCTATGGGTCTCTTCCATCACAAGATCAATGAGAGATTTAAGCGACTCTTAATATAATGAATTAAGGAAAACAAAGAGTTATGAAAAAGAAATCTTGTCAGTGTTTTTTTTTTATACAGTGGTACCTTAATAATCATTACTTGGTTCTAGGAGGTGCAGTAAGTACCAAAAAATTGTTTTGGCTGGGAAGGGTAGTGAGTCGTAATAAGACAATCTACACCAACAATTTCTAGCTTGTGTGTCAAGTACCAAAAAAGATGAGTATCATGACAAAATTTTCTGGTCAAAATGCATTAGGTACCAAGATATGACTATAGACGCTAACAGACTTTGTTATCCACACAACAGATGTAGATAAGACACAGCTGATGAGCACTCAAGTGCTATGGACCCATTTACTGCCAACTCTTCTCATCTAGTCTTTTCTAGAAGTTTTTGCAGAGTGACACACGTGCATACTTGTGTGTACCTTCTCTCTTTCACACTTCACTCTGATGCAGGCAGGACCTCTTCTTGCACAATTCAACCAAGCTGTGTAACACAGCAGGCCTGATATTAAGGTCATGAAAATCAGTTTCTCAATCCACCCCTATAACCTTCCTAAGACTGTAACCTACACCAAACTTTCCCTTCAGGTGAGAAGAGAAGGAATATAGTATCTATTTTTGTCAACCTGTAGGAAAGCAGAATGAGACAAGAGCCATCTACTGGTATTTGTGAAGTCTACAGCATGAGTCACAACTCAGCACAGTAAATGCAGATCCTCGGGTGATCACAGACACACAGAACTGAAGCGCTCCAGTAAGGTCTTACCTTGTCAGGAGGAGGCTCAGGCTCAGTCTTCGGCACTGGGTCAGGAGATGGAGATATGGGAGGAGGCGGGGATGGTGACTGAGTTTCATAAGTCCCAGGAGAATCTGGGATGACTGAAATAATGAAACAAGTTTAGACAAGAAAACTGTAAGCTCTAGCTGGTAAATAGTGCCTTCCTGAATAGCACCTCTAACTACTATGTTCAAAAAAAGGCATTTTGGAAGCAGTAAGTCAGTGACAAAGAAGCACTGCACAGTTATCAGTTACCTTTAAAATACACATTAGTTTTATACAATTAAAATCAGAGAACGAAGCATCATTAGAGTTGGAAATACCTTATAGATCATCTAAACTAAATGTTTTATTTTATTTACAGTTATGTTCAGGTGTGAAGGTGATGTATAAATAGCTACTGGTCACCTACCATGTGTGATATTGAGTATTCTATTCTAAGTGGAGTAAACAGAAATCAGAGGTTCCTTCACTTGACAAACTCACACAGCTTGTAACTAGACAGGTTTCAGATTGAAGTCAGTCTGACTGCACAACTTTCCTAGTCCAGGTATCCATGTTACCTTACTATTAATGACCATCTTCACACAAGACCAACAAAAGAGATAATCTTCAGATTATACCAAATGCTCCATGTCCGTGTTGTGACTGTGATTTGAGGGTTACTTGTAATCACCTGAGAAATTTGTTAGGCTAAACTTTCCAGCTGGAGCTGGGCATGATGGCACATGCCAATCATCCCAGCAGTTGGGAGGCTGAGGCATAAGAACTGCCATGAGTTGGAGGCCAGCCTGGGTAACAGTGAGTTCAAGGCCAGCCTGAATTACATAGTGAGATCCTGTCTCAAAAAACCAAAATTTGCAGATGATATTAAGAGCATAAACTTTGGGGAAGAGATCATCTTCGGACTGATGTTTACAATGAAAGCTTTATCAATTAAGTCCTGCTCAATATTCTGTGTGGGAATTATATCTAGTGACTGTCCTACTGATGAAGCTTGTTTTGCTATACTGAGAGGAGCAATAAGGAGTATTTTTAGGGAAGAAATAACACTATGGAAATGACAGCGCCACCAGAAGAATCCCATCATTTCTCAATAGTTTCAGAAACAGTGGTTCTAGTATCAGACGCGTGAGACAGAACCTGGAAGTCTTCAGTTGACCTGGTCAGGGAACTGTTAGCTGCTTAGCTTCACCTGCTCCCTGGATCTCCTGGTTACCTCCAAAATCTTAGCAAAAGTCTTGGATCTGAAATTTTCCCTCATTAGGTCAGTGTTAACAATTCTGACAGTGGAAGGTTCAAGGCCAAATGAACTAAGGAGGTATAGGAGAACAAGAGCCAGAATGAATCAAGTTTATACTTCGAGTATGAAATGGGTCCCCAAACTTTGTAAGCTTGGGAAGGAACAAGGTCTAGCTACAAACCCAGCTTCGGGAGGCTAGCACACAATGAAAGCTCAGGCAAGAGAAGGGATGCACCCCAGAACTGAGAGTTCTTGTTCTGGAAGAATAGCTGTTCAAAAGCTGGGCACAATGGCAGATGTGTTACACTGGTTGGAGGAAAGTTTAGGCAGTGAAGAAGCCAAAGAAGTTTCGATAACTCAAGGTAATAAATTTAGGTGTTCTTATTCCATTTCCACTTTTGCAGCCACTTGACTTACCCAAGGAAAACAATCCCAGTGGCACGCACTCACACCCCTAGCAAAGGACCGCACACAGCTGTTTTGTTTACTCACATCCCCATTTCAGACTCTCACTCCAAAGAGGGAGGAATGCCACAATTCCCCTGGTGCTGAACACAGAGCAATAATTTTTTTTAAATAAAGGAAAATAACCCCTTCTAAACTAAACTGGGGATGAAGAGCACCCACATCAAGGAAGATTCTGCATACACCTTCCTTTTCCTTCTACATGTTCCCCCAGAGAAATGTAATAAAGAAAATGTTATAACTCCCCCCATAACAGAAAAGAACAGAGAAGCTGAGATAAAGAAGAAATTTAGAAAAAAAAAAAAAATCCCTGGAAGATAGAAGGCAAGAAAAAGTTGACAAGAGAAAGATCAGCTAATTGAATAATTTAGATGGTAGAGACTATTATAAATCTGTTTTAACTGACTTTTGGATTTTTTTTTAAAATGTGGTTCTAGGAATCAAACCCAGGACCTCACGTGTAAGCAAGGTAGGCTCTTTCCCACTGGGCTACATCCCCAGCCTTCCTTGACTTTTAAAACTCTGTAGATCTACTGCTTTGTTTAAACATTAAAAAAATTTTTTAAAAGCAAAACAATCAAATTTTAGACTTTACAGATATTAATTACTCATTCTTATAGTAACCCCTCAAATCACTGTAACTTATTTTATACAACTGAGGTTTAAAGAAATTAAAAAAAAAAACAAAAAAAAAACTTGCTCATATTCATGTGGTACACGGAATGGAAGAAATGAGAAAAGAAGTCTGTCTGTCTTATTACTTATCAAGTCAAGCCCTGACTCAACACATTTTTAGTGGTGAAAGCTTAAGAATGCTTGCGGAATTTGTGCAGTTTAAATAGATTTGTTGCAAATCTGTAGATCTTCCAATAAAAGAAGTATGAAAACATGAATTATTCCAGGAAAGCAACTTTTGTGGGGGCAGAACAAGAACTGTGGGTAAAGTTAATTTCAGGGATTCTGCAGTGTAACCACTTGTTTGCTGAGTCTCCTGGCAGAGATGGTAATTAAAATTCCTGGAAAGCATTCCCATCTTCCTAGGACTCAGTATTTTAAAAGTATCTATCCTTACCTTAAAAAAGGGTGGGGTCATTTGCTTAATATCCTTGGTAAGCAACTTGCAGGAAGGAACATACTTAAATACATCTGTTACAACTCTGCTTCTTCCTAGCAATACAGACTTTCTTAATGCTATCTCGGGATCTCCCCCTCTCTCTTTTTGATTTACAAAGAGAATCTGTAATGGTGATTATGACTCTTGGCATCGTGAAGTAAAAAAAAAAAAAAAAATGGCCCTTCGTTAGAGAGTTCCAAATATATAGGTAAGGGGATTTTTCTGAAAGAAGGTTCCTACAAATATATTTCCGAACACGCAACACTTCAACAGCAAGGGGCTAAACCCCCACTACATGTCAAATAAACACTGCTGTGGAATTCTTACATATCATCTTACTTGATGCTCATTAGTAAGACTATAGAGTTTCCGATAACATCCCCATTTTTAAAATGAGGCAACAAGCCATTAAAGAAGTTAAGAAATCTGTCTAAAATCACACAGTAAGCGATGCAAGAAAGAGTCAGACGCAGGCCTGTCTGATACCAAAATCTTTGCCATTTCCTCCACTCCTGCTGTTCCTCTGCTACTGACTAGATTAAGACAGCAGACTCAGCAAGTATCATGTAATCAATGTAACAGAAATAAAACAGTTGTAAGTTAGAGACTGTGAAGGTTTAAAATAAAATCCCACTGCTCTGAGAGAAAGAAATTTAGGAATAAAACGGTAGAGGTTGATAATTTAGTCTGACGCCAAAAATTATCTTTGCTGCAGGGAAAAAATCTGAGAGCCATTGCTCTCTGTCATCTGTTATTATAGGTTGCTGCCTCTATCATATTTCTTTGCCCTCCTTTCCAAAATAAATAACCCCACTTGTATCTCTAATCGCCCACAGGTATTATTATTTTTGTGGGCCATGGATCAAAACAGAGAATATTTCAGGGAATATATGTAATGGTGCCTAACCAACCACAGTAATTCCTCAACTCACTAATAGTAGAATATCTAGTTTACCTTTCTTGTGGCACTGAGAACTGAACCCAGAGGCACTCTACCATTAAGCTACATCCCGCTTCCCACGTTTTTTTGAGACAGGATTCTCGCTAAATTGCCCAGGCTGGCCTCAAACTTGCAATTCTCCAGCTTTAACCTCCCAAGCAGCTAGGATTACAGGCATGGCCTGCCACCATGGCTGGCATGGCTTTAACTTTTTAATGTACATTAGGCTGACAGCTTCAAAGCCTTTTAAAGAATCTTCCTCAACTTATTTCCCTGATTGCAAGTAGGTAAGAGTATTCCAATTAGCACATATTCCTAAGTTACTCCTTATCCTGTGCACCTACATTTAAATTTTGAACTGTTCAGAATGTGCCCTGATGGTCTTTTACTTCATTCATATACTTGGATATCTTCCTTTCAGAAAGTGTGGTCAAAACATTTTGTTAAAGACATGGAACAAAAATATAGCAATTGCATTCACATTTGAATGCTCATAATGCCCTAACTCTACTTATTCCAAAGACCTATTAAAAAACCATACCTCAGGCTGACACAAGAGGATCACCATGAGTTCAAGGCCAGCCTCGGTTACGTAAGCGAGTTCAAGGCCAACTTGCACTACAAAGTGAGAGCCTGTCTCAAAAAAACCAAACAAACAAAACAAAACAACAACATACCTCAGAAGAGCACTGCTCCTCTCACTGGGTATCAGACTGTGCTCCTAACACTACTTGTGAATGGTAGGATCTAAATCTACAGAGAGTCAAAATGGCATTTCTATCAGAGTCAACTACCTGGTACTACTTATTAGGTCTACTCACTTCTTTCGCATTTCAATCTTCTGCATATATAATTTGTTTTTCCACCCACTTGTACAATTGAGTCAATAACTCTTTCTTAGGGAGACTCTCTGTGGTGCACTGACAACTGGTGGTCAACTTGTAATATCCAGCTTCATTGAACCAATGTGGTGCTGGGTATGGGAAGCCCATCTGAGGATTGTTGCCAGCAGCACAAGAGGCAGAAGTGGAGAAGTTCAGAGGCTGCTGGGAGCTTGAGAGAAGCTGTTGGGTGCTGGTAGAAGCTGTAAGGAGCGGTTGGTTCTCTTGGAGGAGCTTGTCATGCTGGCTTTCCTGATGAAGTCGGCTGTTCTCACTGTCCGAGCAGCTACGGACCTTGTTGTTGCTGAGAATGGTTTTGGTTCACTTTGGGGAGCTCTGGTCTTCACTTTGAGCATTGCTTCCTGGTTCCAGAGAGGAACATGGTGCACTGCTCAGTCTACTGGAGAAGCTTCTTGTATTGGCTTTCCTGATGGGAACTCAGCTTTCTTCCTCATGGGAGGAGCTCAGGACCTCACTGTTGTGGAGGATGGCTGTGGTACTTTTCGGGGGGGCTCTGGTTCTTACTTTAAGCAGTGCTTCCTTGCTCCAGTACAGATCCCTCAGCCTGCTAGCACAGCTCCTTCATCCTGCTGGCACAGACTTTCTAGCTCCCCCATTGACCTTTGACCCTTCCCAGCACAGATCCATGAAACAGGCCTGCATGAGACATTGTCATAGGCTCTAGGCCTCCAGTTGGACTCGTGGGAGGCATTGTTACGGGCTCTAGGTCTTCAGCTGGATTCATGCAGAACACTGGTGTGGGATCCAGGCCTTTGGCTGGACTCTTTTGTCTTTAGTGTGGGGACACATTTGCTGCACTCTCCTTTTGCATATGATTCTTTGGGTGACTATTACAAATAATCTTATAAAACATGTGTTCTGTAACCCCACACTATGACACTCTGTTATCATGTTCAGTTTTTGGTTAAGAAAAGACTCTTACATTTCTAGTTTTGTCCTTGGATAGAAGGTTCCTCTTTTCCATTCGTTACTCTTCTTTAATCTCTTTTAGTATCAGGTTATTTGTACTAGTCTATGGACCTTACCATGATGCTGAATTCTTTCAGGTTATATTTCCCCCTATTGCCTAAAATGGTTCATGCACACTATGCCCCAAATTCTTGAAGTGAATATAGCAGCTTTTTATCCTTGGCTGAGGCATTCAGAACATCAGCTCAGCCCAGGTCTTTCTCTTCAGCCTCCTGCTCTTTCTGCACATTTTCCTTTAAATGACTTAGTATGAGATCTTGGCTCTTAAGAATACTTGCTATTCTTTTAAAAAGCACATTATGTTTCTTGCCCTCTTTCCCTTATTCTATTTGCTTACCTTACAATATTGCCCGCAGCCTAAGACTAAAGGGTCTATAGTGTCATTCATTCCCTTTCAACAGTATGTATGGAACAGCTTCAATATCCTTGATACCACAATTCTTAAGAGTCACATAAAGTTAGCCAAAGGAATAACCCCTCATCCTTAAAAAAAAAAATGCCTTAGTATGTGTAGTAAAAGAACAGTTCTGTTCAAAAGGCTAAAAGTAGATATCACAAAGAAATACAGGCTGTGTTTCTTTGATGCTAGGATTAATACTATCATTACAACCCATAATAAATTATGTTTCAGGCTCTTGAGCATCATAATAAAAATTGATCCCCTAGTAAATTAATAACAATGCCCACCTTCATCTTCACTGCTATCAGACTGAGGAAGTTTGATTCTTCTCCTCTTTTTCTTCACATTTCCAGTTTCCTTTGTTTCATCATTAGATAACTCTACTCGCTTCCCCCTATTGTCATTCAGGAATAAATTAAGCATGTTACACTGAACAAAAATGTAAGCACTCCTTTGTGCCTATGTATCTTTTTCATATAACTCATGGTCCTAATTCCAGTCAAAGTAAACCAGTAAGAACCTTTTTTTGCAGTGCTGGGGATGGAACTCAGGGCCTAGTGCATACTAAGAAAGTGCTGTACCACTGAGCTACTTTTGCAGTTTAAGGACTCTTTTGCCGTTAACTAAGCACAACTAGGTCACTTCACAGGTGACCAGAATATAAGATTTCTCTAACTCTATAGAAAGCTACAACCAGATTATCAAGAATCTTTCTGAATGCCTTTCTACTTCCCTTACTGGCTTGCCAATCATTCAACAAGCATTAAATAAGCAGCTACTACTCAAGACTACCAGACTTGGGAAGTTTGATTCTTCCCTTTTTCAATACCTACTGATACTCAAAGAACAAGGCTGTACTGCAAACGATTTTATGACACTAATTACAACAACTTAGATAAACAAATTTCTTTAAAAACACAACTTATTAAAACTTGATCCAGAAGGAACTGAAATTAACTTTACTCAAAGAAATTAAATTCATAAAAAAAAGAACCTTCCTATGAAGACATTCCAAGCCTAAACTCAATGATACATTTTTATCAAACATTTAAGATAGAAATATCTATGCAAACTCCTTCAGCAAACATAAAACACACCTCTCCACTAATTTGATGAAGTTAGCACAATTCTGACAGTAAAACTGACAGACATTATCTAAAAAGAAAATAAGTGAGCCATAGACCTCATAAACATACAGGGGAGGACTGGAAAAGTAGCTCAGTGGTTGAGTGCTTGCCTAACACTCTGGGGCTCTGGGTTTGATCCATAGCATCACAAAAAATCAAAACAAAACCATAGATTCAAACAAATTCCTAGTGTGACATTAACAAATCTAATCCAGCAATACATAAAAAGGATAATACATCACAACCAAGTAAGGTTCACTCCAAGAAAGCAAGGTGGTTTAACATTTAAAATTCAATTGGTACAGTTCACATTAGCTGAAAAACAGTCACAGTAACTCAATAAATGCAGAAAAAGTATCCATTAAAATTTCAACACCCACTCATGATAAAACCCCTCAGCAAACTTGGAACAGAATAGAACTTTCTCAATCTAGTAAAGGGCATTTATTAAAGCCTACATTTAACATCATACTTAATAGTGAAATACTAAACATGTTCTTGGCAGTAAGCATCAACACTAAATGTTGCATCCATGGTTGGGGACATTTTAATCCATCTGTATCATATATTTCTAGGAAGAAAGGCCCACTGGACAGAGCCTTAACCCTCTGAAACATCACCATTTTGTTGGTTTTTTTACTCAAGTTGCTCCAACCTTGCCACAAAAGTCAGGTCTTTGTGGGCCTATCAGTGCCGACAGTGTCCTTTAGAATTTCTTTCAACAGACTAATTCCTACCAACTATGAGGTAGTGTCTCAAATTCCTGGATTCATTTTTAACAGCTTGTGTGCTTTTTATTTTCTTTTCTAATTACATTTTACCACTTGAAAAATAAACTCATTGATATAAAAAGAAAACAAAGAACTTTTTCTCTTAAATATGACTGGAAACAGTAACTTCTCATTTGGCGACTTGAAGTGAAGCACACACACACATACACACACAGAGGCACATTTATGCCATGTTAACAAATTTAAAAATGAAGAAATGATGTAAGGGAAAAAAAGACAATTAGTTTAGATCAATGGAGACAAAAAACACGACTTTTTTGTAGAGTCCTAAATCCCCCAAACTGGTTGATTCCACAGTCCCACTTCATCAGATAAGCTACTGAGTTCTCTTCTGATTCAGCTGTAGAGTTGCATCCCTGAGGTACTAAGCAGAATTTAAGACTCAACTGAAAACTACCTGCTGTCAATAAGCCCACAGACCTTCTCACCCCCAGCAGACGCTTCCCTTGCAAGTGACAGAATTTTCCTACCATTTTTTTTCCTTTTGCTGCATCTTAACAGGCTCTGCCTTTTTGCTGGGTTTCTTCAGGTCTGCAGGAGTTGCCAGCTTTGGTTCAGGGACAGACGCTGGAGGTTGTTCCACTATTTTTTCTTCTTTCACTGCTTGTTCTGAGTCCAAATTGACTTTAAGTTTATCTACAAATAAAGTATAGCAGATGATATATAACTCCACCAAGCAATCTTAATCCATCATTCTTTTGACAGTCCACTATGTGCCAGGTAAGGTTAGGAGCAAGGGCTAAAAGGATAAAAAAACTGTCCCTGTCTTAACAGAGCTCAATCTATTCAGAAAACATTTCTCCTTTCTAGCTACTACTGTAGCTATAACTCTTCTCATTTCTGCCTCCTGCTAATCTGTCATTACACCATAGCCCCCAGGCCAAAGGATAGTAAAAGCAAGGCTTAGAAAAACAAATTTAACTTCTTGAAGTATCATCTTTCTCTATTTTCAGACAAGGAAAACTAAGAGTGACAGGAATTAAAAGATGTTCCCCAAGAGTACACAGCTTACAAATGGTGATCACAGAATGTGTAGCAAGACCTTTGCTTTCTATTATAGTCTACCTTTTAATGCTTGGATCCTCTTATTATCTATCACCTTAATGATACAACTGAAAAACTATTTTGGATCACTCTAGTTTCCCTTTTGGCAAGTTATTTTACCTAAAAATCATTTTTCTCTGTAAAAACTGTGAGGATTATCATAAGAATTAAGAGATCAGATGGGAGGTTAGGTGATTTCACTCAAGGTAACATTGATACAAAAGTTAAGATCCAAGATACAGACTTCAGTCAGTTTACGCCACAAAATCTTGACTCCTTCCCTTACATGAAGCTAAAAAACACAAAAACTACTGTTTAATGCAGAGGACTAATAAAATGCACATAAGAAGGGCCTAGCCATCTGAGAATTACAGAAACATATAATCTAGCCTTCACAATGGACTTAGTGATAGCTCTCTGCAAGCAAACTCACAATACACAATTAGAAAGCTGTCAATGGTAGGCAGTTCTTCAATAAGTTTAGCTGCGTGTTCAATCACAGCTTAAACCATCTACAATGTAGAAATCACCACTCATATCTTAGTCTTGGCTATTAAGCACAGGATAGTATGATAATTTATATATTATATATATTATCTGAAAGTGTACATGATGGATTAAATGCAATCTATTTATACTTTTAAAGACTTGACTGGGAAATTTAAACAACCCAATAAATAGTATACTTTACTTTTTTTGTATTTTCAATACTATTATTCTCAGGTATGAATGCTTCCCAACTTTCTCATCAACATATCCCAGACTGATTAGGAGTAAACATGTCACAAATGACAGAATTTCACTCCTTTTTATGGCTGAATAATATTCCATGTCTGGATATGTCACATTTGTTTCTCCATTCATTGTATTGTTTGTATTGTTTCTACTTCTTGGCTATTAGGAAAATTGCTGTACGGCCACTTCATACAGGTTTTTTGTGCAGACATACAGCTTTAATTTGCTTGGATACCTAGGAGTGGAATTAATGGATAAATCTAAGTTTAAAATTTTTGAAGGTTTTCAAAGAGAGTACACCATTTTACATTCCCCACAGCAATGTATGAGGATTCAATTTTCTACATCCTTGCGAATACTTGTTACTGCCCAGCAGTATGTTTTAATATGTTCAAGTCCCTACAATACTCTCCTCATCCAACTCTCAAACTTTATTTTCATTGCAATAATCGTGTCATGCAGCAAATCTTTACACTGAACATTCAACCTTAGAAAATATCTCTTAAATAAATCAACTTTGTAAGTGATTCTTATTAGGCAAGTAATTCTTTTTTTTTTTTTTTTTTCAGGTTTTCCCTCTCCCTGTATTACATGTTATAGTAACACTTGCCTAGCAATTATAATCAGTACCTATTTTATTTTCCATATATTTGTCTTCAACAAGTGCACAACTAGTATTTGCTAAATGAACACATAAATATATGTATACTTTGGTATATTTTACAATTGGCAAATTTTCATACATTTTATTTTTAAAAACAATTTTTAAAATGACTGGTTAAGGTAACAAACACATACAAACAAACACGTAGGCCTTATCAAAACCCACCAAAAAACCATAATTTGATTGGGACCAGACCCAGCCATGCAGGCCAGAGACACTAGCACTATGTGTTTTCATAGAAGTGGGAGTCCTGCTGTGCACTGTGCCCACAAAAGTACAACTGTGCTTCTCAATAACTTAAAAGTATCACATTTTCTATGTACTGCACTTTCAGAACACAAAAATGGTCTCCCCTGATAACTTTCATGGCAAATAAAACACCATCACCCCAATTCCTCTTTGATCGGTAATGTGACTACCACAGAAAGGCAGAACTCAGATTAATTTTGCTGCAAAAGCATAAGAAAAAATGTTTCCCTGAAAAATCTTTGTAAAACTGAGGCTCGGGAAAGTGTGCCATAATTATCCTTTGGCTCCTGCATTTTTCCTGGTATTCTGCCACATGTCCTCAGGGGATATATACTTGACATGAGAAGCATAAAAATATGTGACTACTGGTTCTTTCCATAAGAAACAATTCTTATTTATACATTTTTTAAATAAAGGAGATTATTACTTTCTCAAAAACTAAATGTTTAAATGGTCATCACAATCTAGGCCATTCAAATCCACGCTGACATTTAATTCATTACTGTGAATAATCTGCAAAGAATAAAGAAATGCAACAGATTTGCTCTGGTGATCCCTTGGAAAATAGGTGTAATAAAGGTCACAGCAGGCAAACTGACGCCAGCACCCACCATTAAACCTCAACACTGGGCTGGGGATTTAGCTCAGTGGCACAGCGCCTGCCTGGCAAGCACGAGGTCGTGAGTTCGACTCCCCGTACCAGAAGAAAACCAAAAAAGTAAAAGAATAAACAAAATAAACCTGAACACAATCCTGCTGAATGAGTGGCCTCTCTTTTACTTTCATCACCCATTATCAGTAGTCCTATGAAGCAAATATTTTTGTCGAGCAGGAAATAAAAGCAGAAGTAGTAAACTGCCCTCCAAAAGATCTCAACTGAGTCCAGCTTATCCAGTAGGTCTACTGTGCTAGTTGGTTACTTTCACCAATATATTGGTCAGTATTTATAAATTTATGTCAGGAAGCAGGAATGCCTGGATAGAAAAAACTAGATACCGCAGTATGATATGTTACCATGTTAACATTCACTTATTAATCGAAGGAAAGTGAGAACATGCTTACTCATAGCAGCTTTTCCAAAAAAATTGCTCATTTTCCCTTTTCCAAGTGCTTTGCTGCCAGCCGAAGATACCTTAAAACATACAAAGATACTCTTGTAAGATGGAAAATACAGAAGAAATGGATTCATAGATACACTTGAATTACCAAAGCTGAATCAAGAAAATATAAAAATCCTGACAGTCAGTGAAATTGAAGCAATAAAAAAATTACCAACTAAAATATAGAAAAAACATATAATATTTTTCTCCTAGTGCTTAGGTTGTTCTTAAAGTAGTAGTCTCAAATAATCTCTCCTATGACAGAGCATGCTTTCCTGATGGTATAATCTTTATGTGATCAAGCCAAGATGTAGGCATTAGATATAAGAACTAATCTAAAACAATAATCCAGACCACATGGTATCTGATCCTAATTTACAAAGCTTTGTCATAGTCCTTATAAAATTATCCACTGATATGTCTAAGCTTTTCTTGAGCACATTTTAAAACAATTTACATTAAGATTAAAACAAATCAGAGGTAGTATGGTATACAACAGAGCAGAGTGGGCAAGATATCACAATTTTAATTATCAGATGTGGATCTGAAATCTAATGGCGACAATAATAATTTAATAGTAAATTATCTAGCAAGTCTAGGCCCCAGTTTTACCACATACAAAATAAAAATGTTCAGGCCCAAACAGAATTGATATGAAGATTTAAACAAAGATCACACTACTGGCACACAGCAGGAATTCAATCAACATCTGTGTTTCCCTCTACCACTCTTCTCCTTTCCCAAAGCAAAAGCCTGAAAATGATTATCATGTTAGTAATAACAATAATTTTATTTTTCTGGATTTTAACAGTATTGTGATTCTTCAGTCAATGCCCTTAAGTTAGGTAACTCAACAACAACAAAGGGGAGTGAAAAAAGAAGCCAAAGGAACAGAACAAGAGGGTTAACTACACTAAAAAGGTATACAGAGAGTGAAAGAAAAATATAGTGAATGCTCAAATTTTCCAAAATTTTATTACAGTAAAAGACCTATTACCATCATTCCCCCTCAGAATACTCTCTCTCTCTTCAAACATACTTGTCCCATTATTCTTGTCACTGTCTGAAGCAGTTCTGAAAGTCCTTTTTCATGATTGTCTTTAGTTGCACTGTCTTGGCTGCCTCAATGTCCCAAATCAATTCAAAATGGTAACCTTTCATGACCATTTTGACTCTGGGAAGGAGCCAGAAGTCGTATGGTGTCAGATCTGGTGCATAAGGTGGATGAGGATGCAGTGCAATGTTTTCAAGAGCCTGCCTTTCTATTAGATGACAGTAAGCAGCAGCACTCATTGTATTATCATTGTATTATTGATCACAGGTCATAAAGGCACAAAGGAGGACTTCCAGAACTGGTTCAGAAAGCAGCAAAACAATGTGGAGGGGACCTGTGGGATTAATAGCAACGTGTCTTTCACTGCAATACAATCTTAAAAACAATCATTAACCAGGTATTTCGATCACATTGTATATATACGGCAAAGTCCAGAATACAAAATGTTCTCAAAATGATACATTGCTAATATAAAATTCCTTGACACTTATAATCTTTGAGGTGTTTTCACACACATTATTTCAATTGGGTCTCACAATAATCTTATGATGTATACAGGGCAGGTATTATCATTTTACAGAAAGAAAATCCAAGGCTTGGTGAGAAATATTATCAAAGAATAAAGGACTACTTCAGGTAAGAATATCACCCCTTAATTCAGGCATGGTGTGCATGCCTGTAATCCTAGCACTCAGGAGGCCGAGGCAGGAGGATTGCTGCAAGTTTGAGACCAGCCTGGGATACAGAGTGAGTTCAAAGTCAGCCTGCACTACAAATGAGACTCTGTCTCAAAAAAGAAAAGAAAAGAAAAGAAAAAGAGTATCAAGCACTAAAGGGTTCAAATCAGCACGAAATATCAGAATCTATATAGTTTAACTACTCCAGAAACTATAAATGCTTTCCTAGATACCTATTCTGTGCTGTAATTAAGGCCAACCTTCAAGGAAGACTTACATTTGTTACTTCTTTAGCCTCTGTTTTGGTTTCCTTGTTCGTATCGTGGGTTTTAGTGGCAGCTTTAGAAGCAAACATTCCCATAATTCCTTTGGGCTGCTGGGAAACCTGTTTGGAGGGAGGTGGGCCATGACCGTTTGTGGTCAGCTCATTATTGACTTGTGTCTCATTTGATACCTGAAGATTCGACTGCTCAAACTTTCTGGAACACGAGGATTCTGCAGGGACTCTGGGGACTGCAGCTGCACATTGTATGGCACTAAACCTAAAAATAGAAATGGTACAGTACATTCATGTCAGAATCAAGTCTTGTTTTTAAACTCTTGCTTCTTTCACCTAATACAGTCTATATTGATTTTTTTTTTTTTGGTACCAGGAATCGAACTCAGGACCTTGCACTTGCCAGGTTGGTGCTTATGCCACTGAGCTATATCCCCGGCACATAATAGAGTCTAATTCTAATATTAACATACTAAGGAATTTTGAATTAGAATGAATTTTTAGAAATTTTTTTGTATAAAATTCTCATTTAAAGAAACAATTATTAAAAGTGACTTCTCTGGTATTACACATACAGTTTAGTAATGGAGCTAGGATTAGAATCACAAGGCTTCTACTATACCATATTGAATACTCTTGCTTTTTAGGGGAAGCAAAGCAAAACAAATTCAAGAGTAAGAACATAGGGATAGACAGAGAGTTCATGAACAAAAACCAAACAGTACGGGAAATACCTCAAAGAATCAACACCTGGGATCTCATCTTATTAAAAAGTTTTTGCACATCAAAAGAAATCACCAACAGAGTAAAAAGAAAACCCATGAATTGGGAAAAAATGTTATCCAACTGCCCCTCAGACAAAAGATTTCTATTTAGAACATATAAAGAATTTTTAAAATATCAGCCCTCCCAATTCAAAGACCCAATACAAAAATGGGCCTCTAAGATGCATACACACTTCTCAGATGAAGAAATACTAATGGCAAATAAATACAGGAAAAAAAATTCAACATTATTAGTCATTTGACAAATGCAAATTAAAACAACACAGATTCCGTCTGACCTCAGAAAGAATGGCTATCATTAAGAAATCAACCAATAACAAATGCTGGAAATACAACAACCATTGTCAATTTCCTCACTTTGTCTGTAACTCTGTATTGCTTGTATTGTTCTTATGCTATTCTGTAAATGGATGTCTGTTTGTTAATATGTTTTCCTTCTTTTATTTTTAAAATAAATTTTAAAAACAATGCTGGAGAGGTTGCAGAGAAAAAGGAACCCTTCTCCACTGCTGGTGGGAGTGTAGACTGGTGAAACCAGTCTAGGATTAGAGGTTCCACTTAACCCAGCTATTTCTCTTCTATGTATTTTCCAGAAGAATAAAAACATCATATCACAGCAATATAGGTGCACCCATGTTTACAGCAGCACAATTTGTCATAGCTAAATCTTGGAAACAACCCAAATGCCTATCAACTGAGGAATGGATAAAAAAGATGTGGTATTTTTATATAATGGAGTATTACCCAGCTATAAAAAAAGATAAACTTGAGGCTTTTATAGGTAAATGGATGTAACTAGAGACCACACTCATAAGTGAAATAAATCGGACCCATATGTGTAAACGTCATATTATTTCCCTAGTGTAAGAACCTGAAAGAGTAAATAAACCCAAAAC